GGGAGGAGGGTAGTAGGAAGGGGAGTGTGAGTCTTGGTAACAACAGTTCTTGTTGACCGAGTTTTGTGTTGTCATTGGTACTTTCCCTCCAGTATTCCAAACCTCTCCTGCCTCCACTCCCCTCCCGCCAACCTCGCTCCCCAGTAGAGAAGACGCCTGTTCTTGTAGGTGGAACAGTCATTACTTGCTGGTACAAACCCTGTGGTAATCTTTTGTTACTCAGATGAACAGCCTATTATATCATGGGGGGTGACCCATTATAATTACATTTTCTTAAAAAAAAAGAAATTCAGGCCATGGCATTTACCACAAGATTTGGGGAGTGAAATGCAGATGGAAAGACACTGGCACTTCCAGACTGTTTTTACTACCTCCATGGACACGAGTGAGGACTATTTTATGCTCAAGGATCGAAACATGGGACTAATGGTCTCTGAGCTTTTGTAGCGGGCAGTGCGTTACCAAGATGCCTGGCAGCGCACTGCTGGAGCAGGCGGACTGAGGCTCCGTGTGATCAGGTGCTTGGGTTACACCCTGGGGAGCCCGTGTTTAGGATGGAAAATAATGCCATGAAAATACACTGCTTTAGTACCCTGAATATTGGTAAGCTCTTTTTGATACTGAACTTTCTATTAAAAAATAAGAATTCTGTCTTAAGCAGTGTGGGTTTGTAAAAGTGTATAGCTGAGCTTAATGACAGTGGAGTTGGAAACTTCTGTAGGAATTAAGAGTTTCTATTTTTATGAAAGAAAAATATTTTAACTTTTCCAAGGGCATTTAGGAATCTTTTTTGTTTCTCTTCTTACCTGGTCTTTGTAGAGCGCGGAGTGCAGTGGCTTTGAGGGTTAACGCTTGGTCCCTCTGCTGGGTACAGAGCAGATGCTGAGTAAATGTTGCTCACCATGACTTACCCTCGACGTACACCCTCTTCCCCTGTGCACACAGGCTCCTTCCTACCCTCAGAGGTGGTTACTCACTGCAGCCTGGTGAGTCCTCGAGCCTGGTGAGACGTTCTAGGGGAGGCTGTAGCCTTTTTCAAAAGAAGGAACTTGAAGAGGTCACCGTAGTGCCAAAATGGCCTAGAATTGTCCACAAAGGGATCATGAGATAGACAAATAAAACATATGGCTCATTACTTTCTAAAAGTAAGACCAAAATAATTTGTGTTATATTTGATCCTACATAAGCTATCCTTATGGAAACGCAGGGTATTGTGGTAATAATAACAATATTAATAGCCAACACGCATTGCAAAGCTTTTATCTTCCAGACACGGCTTTTATGTACTTCACATGTATGGACTAATTAAATACCTCATCTTTCAGTGCCTGGGGTCATCCTTGGAACTGAGTCAAACTCTATCATCACAGCGTGTGTGGGATCTTTCTTGTTTCTCAATGTTTATAATAATTGCATGGTACATCTCATCAGTGGTCAGCTAGGCAGTGCAGGATGGATTTTCTAAGCCCTGGACTGGGTTTGCTCCATGCTTATTTCTCTCTTTACATTTACGGCTTCTGTGGCAACTGAGCGGCTCTTTCCTAATGGACTGGAATAGAAGGGAAATTTAAATCAGATATAGATCTTTATTATAAGGTTTCTAAAATCCTCCCCCCCAACCCCCTTGGGACTTGTACCAGCTAAACATTGGGAATTCTCTTTCTAAGAAAGGAGGGGAAAGTATATGTGTTACATGGGTGGTGTGTGCTATTGAGTTGGCGCTGACTCCTGGTGACCCTATGAATGAGTGATGTCCACCATGTCTTGTCCTTAGCAGCCTTGCTCAGCCGTTTTTTAGAAATTTATTTTATATTGATATTTTAGAGAGAAAGAGAGAGAGAGAGAGAAACATTAATATGAGGGCGAAATATTGATTGGCTGCTTCCTGCACTCCCCCTACTGGGGATCGAGCTGGAAACCCAGCCACATGCCCTGACCAGGAATTGAACATGCAGACTTTGGGTGCACGGGACGATGCTCCGACCAACTGTGCCACACCAGCCAGGGCCCTGCTCAGCTCTTATACACTCATGCTAAGGGCTTTGTTTATGGGGTCAGTCCATCTTATATTTGGGTTTCCTCTTTTCCTGCAGCCTTATATTTTTCTTAGCATTATTGTTTTTTCCCAAGAACCCTGCCTTCTCGTAATGTGTCTGAAGTAGGAGATCTTCAGTTTTGTCATTGTCTCCAGGATATTCAGGTTTAAGTTGCTCTGGGATGCACTTGTTCATCTTTCTGGGGCTCCAGGGTACCCACAGAGCTCTCCTCCAACACCATGTTTCAAACGAATCCAGTTTTTCCTATCAGGTTTCTTCACTGTCCAGCTTTCGCACCTGAACATAGTAACGGTATACGTAGTAATGCGCGCTGTGGATGATCTTAGCCTTGTCTCTAATGACTCGTCTCTGCTCTTGAAAGTGCATCCTGGGGGGTGACCAGAAATTTCGGACACAGCCCCAGGTATCCATGCTGCTTTTCATTTGCCTGACTGCTAAACAAGGTAGCTGGAGCCTGTGGCAGCCCCAGTGCCTGCAGGATTTGAAATCATAGGTGGAGATGACTATTTGAGTGGTGACACTAGTTTTGTTTTACTGCTTAATCAGTGCCATTAGAGGTGTTTTTCTTACGTTACTGTAAATCTAGGAGGATGTGGAACTTTCTCTTTGGACACATAGTTTGGAGGACGTCATATTTTTTTCAGTGACTGCAAACCCAGCTGAGCTGCTGTGGCTGGAGGGAGACACTGAACGCTGTCTTTTGATGTCTGGGTGTGAGAGCAGGCGGGTCCTGAAGCCACTGACTGACTGCCTTCACCTCCTGGCCCGCCCTGTGACTGTTGAAGCCGTGCTAGTGCCTCAGCAGAGGGGAGGGAGCTCTGGGGGAACCAGTAGCCCAGGGAAATATGGGAATTGCTTGCTGATGATGAAATTAAGGCAATTCCCCCCCCCCAATAAAAATAAAAAGCGAAAACCATGTGAGTGATGTTTCCCCAGTAGTCTGACCTGGCTGTGCCACCCCTACCCCGTCTGGTTAGAAAAGGTAATTTCTCCCTGTATCCCTCCTCTGGTCATTTTCTCTGACATGTATTTCTGACTGTGAACTGCATTGTCTACTCTGTTGTCAGGGTAACACCTTTTGGGTGCAATGCCGGTTTTGATGCCTTTCTTTTTCCTTTCTGTGCTGTTCCCTGGTAGGTTTCCCTGTGACCTGTTAGCCTAGCTGGTTGGACAGAGTCCCAAGGGCATGGGTTCAGTCCTTTGTCTGGACCAGTGAACTGTACTGTGTTCCACAATCACGTCCTCCAG